ACGTGGCAAGACCGCGTCACTCCGAAAGGAGCCACGTTGGCGATCCGCGTGGGTGCGATCCGACGGCCCAGATCAATCGCGCGATCGGACGGCCCAGATTCAATCGCACGGACGGCCCAGATTCAATCAAAAACGAACGGCCCAGATTAAAACGAAATGAACGGCTGAGATCAAAAGGCAAGGGGTTATAAATAGAACCCCTACACCAGACCACAAACCCTAGCCGCCCGCCGGTCGCCGGAGAAGACGAACCAGAGGCCGACCGCCGCCACCCGCCGCCGCACCGGGGAAATTTCCGACCGCCGATCGAGGTAAATTTCATACCCCCGACTCGTTTTTCCCCGCTGATTCCTCCTATGGCCAAATCGAGGCCGAAATCCCGGCCAAACGGCCGGAATACGCGGCCGAAGCCCAGCGGCGCCGCCGCGCCCCCTCTCGGTTTTTGCCTCTGACGAGGCCCTTCCCAGCCTCCGTTCGATGCAATTTTTATATCACCGTGATCACCATTCTTTTCTCTACAGGTTGACCGAAGCCGAATCACCAAAACACGAACCTCGCCGGAGAGCCGCCGTACCCGAGAGCGCCGCCGCCGGTAAGCTCCGTTTTTCCGTGATTTTTTTGCCCCCCGAGGGCCCTAGGGTTGTTTTCTGACAAGGACCAATGCGAGTGTGGCCGAATTCGGCCGAAAACGGCCGAAAACAGCCAACCCGAGGTGACTCGCCGTCGCCGGAGCACGGCGGAGCCGCCGTGCCGGAGTTGCGATTTGGGCCGAAAGAGGCCCTGGGCCTAATTTGGGTTTTTTTTTGAGACATGTGCAGGTACTGTTAGTGTGTTTCAGTTCCCCGGGAAAAATTCAGGGAAAATTAGGGACGGCCTGCAGGCGCACTGTGAATCGTATTCGGATCCCGAAAACAAGTAAGGACCCCTCACCCTATTTCCTATCACGGTATTAAAGTTCAAAATGATAAAACGGTATTTCTTGAATTAACGAATGTGTGAAATTGCTTAAGGTGGCTAATGGAGCCCGAGTCTAGTGTGATTGGTGATTTACTGTTATTTGGCATGTTTACAGCTTTAAATGCAAAATGAGGTTTGATGTGTTCATTTTACAGATTTGTGTGCATATACTACGTTTTTATTAATTATGGGTTGAATGACTGAAAAACTGATACTGTATGTTGTCTGTTTGGCATGAATTACGATTTGCTTGTTTAAATGTGAATTGATGATGCTGACTGAGGAAAAAAAAATGAAAGATTGTGTAGACTGATAATTGTATTATGGGGGTCAGCCTGACTAGATATCCTGGGAGATGGTGGACGGACCTGGTCCGTAGGGAACCCTACCGGGATTGTGGTCTCACATGCCGGACGGGGTATGGAGATCTTATGGTTTTGGCGCCCATACCGGACGGGGTATGGGGACGGCCCGTTTCACTCTCATACCGGACGGGGTATTGAGGTTTATGGTTTTGGCGCCCATACCGGACGGGGTATGGGGACGGCCCGTTTCACCCTCATACCGGACGGGGTATTGAGGTTCATGGTTTTGGCGCCCATACCGGACGGGGTATGGGGACGGCCCTGGAAACTGATTATGAATGTTAAAGGTTAACGGGTAGCGGAACCCCTATGGACCCCCACGGATACTAGTAGGTTGGTAAATGAGAAAAAGATATGTTGTACAATGATTGAAATTTCAAGGGGCGTGATAAGTGTTATGTTTTACAGCTCATATTATTCAATGATTATGATAATGTTATTGTTTTTCTTATATTGTTTTCATAAATTCCACCGAGGTAAGTGGATGGTAAAGGTTTTCATGTTAATAAACGAGTTTATTGTAAATTATGCTCCATTGGTCTTTTTGTGTTTTTCTACCCACCTTTACCTCCGTGACGGTGAGATATCGTGATGTTCTTACTGGGCTAGTGTAGCTCACTCCTTATTTAACCATTTCATATCAGGAAGACATGGTTCCCGAGCCCGTTCCGCAGGAGGACGACGAAGGGGATGCCTAGAGACTCTGTAGTCATACTCATAGTTTTATTTTCGCGTTTCTTTCTTAGTTAGTTTAATCTTTTATATTTTAAGTACGTTTTTGGTTTTTCGTGTAAGGGATGTTAACTGAAATTTTGATCTCGCTTCCGCATTTGATATATTTAAATACCCATTTCATTTTGATATTTCCGGGGCCGTTACATTAATTGAAAATAATTTTGGAGAAAAGTGGTGAAAATTTGGATTATGGGGGTATTTTTTTAAAAAAAATTAGAAACCAGGGGGTTAAAACACAATTTAAAAAAATTGTGCCACGTTAGCTGCACGGTCAGCAGCCCTGACCAACCAGGACGCGCCAGGTGGTAGAGACGCTGACACGGGAGGCCACACGGGAGGGAGCCACGTGGGCGATTCGCATGTGCGCGATCGAACGGCTGAGATCCGTTCCCATGCGCATGGACAACCTAGATCAAAAATGCACACGGACGGCCCAGATTGCATCGCGCATGGACGGTCCAAATTGAATCGCGCACGAATGGCCAGATTGAATTACGATGAACGGCCCATATTCACTCCCTATTTAATCACGATCGGACATTCCAGATTAAAAGCGATGGATGGCTCAGATCAAAAGCGGATGAGTACAAATAACCCCATCCGCACTCAAACCCAAACCCTAGCCGCCAGAGCCCCTCACCGGAGAAGATAGCTTAGCCGACGGGGAGCTGACCGCCGCCGTACCGGAGCAATTTTTGGCCGCTAAACGAGGTAAAAATTCTACTCTTTGCTCAGAATTTGATTCTAAACCCACCTATGGCCAAATCGGAGTGAAAGTACTGGC